TTCTGCAGATCTGGCTTGTCCTGCGGAAGTTCCGGTGAATGGTCTGAGCGCTTGAGTCCATTTGGCCCCCTATCTTTTGCACTACTGGCGAGAAAACAGTGAGTAATCTACTCGTGATCACAAACGGTATATCGAAAAATAACAGTTACGTCAGCACATATCAGCACCAACAAGCACACCTACTAGCACCTATCTTGCAAAATACCACTGTATATATTTGTCCATTGCTATCGTATTACGTACTCATCTCGTGACAATTTTTAGCATATTTTCGAGACGAAGCCGAGCATCAAAAATCATGTTTAGTTTAGATATTTGCCCATATTGACGTTTTTTTCATGGTCATTGTCTCACACGTTATAGTTTTGTTCCAATTCTTTGTGAGATTTGTAGAGATGAAAGTCCTAACTATTGTCGCACTATTTTTGTCATGCTTCTTGGCTACTGCACTGAGAAAAAAGCCCATTTGCAAAATGTGCGAAAATTTTGTCGAAGAGGTGGATGCCGTTGTCAAGAAAGAAGGAGATGTGGCCGCAGTAAGTACATTTTTCTGAAATTGATCACCCCACACTTTCATAGTTCAAAATGGTAAAGTTACTCATAATCTTGACAATTACGATAATTTAGGCCCTTGAGAAATTTTGTCACGAAGTCTTGAATTTTCTCATCGAAACATGCCAGAAGATGATTTTGAAAAATCTCAAATTCATCATGGAAAGATTACAGGTGCGACTATAACATTCTTTGCTTGCACACTTTATATTTGAAAATTTTCCAGGCACACGAAAGGCCCGAGAAAATCTGCATTGAGTTACATTATTGTGCTAATCACACAATTGGTTGTACGTAAAAACATATACTTGTAAAATTTCTTACTGATAACTGTCATATCTTACTTCTTAACTATTTGAATTATTGTTGAAACTGTATATAAATAAACTATATCACAGCTCCGTCAGCTGGAAACCTTCCATATATAGAAAAGAAATCCAACGTTTTTTAAGACGAAGTATTTGGGA